CAGGAGCAGGAGCAGGAGGAGCAACAGCAGGAGGAGCAGCAGCAGCAGCAGGAGGAGCAGCAGCAGGAGCAGCAGGAGCAGCAGCAGCAGCAGGAGGAGGAGGAGTATAGGAGTATCGGCTATAGCATTCGTAGTTGCATTTACAGTAACTGCAACTGTTGCATACTAGCCGGAAAGTTCTGTTGTGCAAGCTCCATGACGGCATTCTTCTAAAACAATTTGAGAATCCCTGCCTTGCGCCGCCAAGCGTAAACAACAGGGGCTTGGCAACGCCCATTTCGGCAGTATTTTGCTTGCCCTTTTGATTTGAGTAGTGTGACTTGGCAGCTGGGACCGGCTTGTAAGGGAGATATGTTCAGCTCTGATGTCCTGTATACTGACGACAACATGTTTCCAACTACGCTTTCTCGAACATAGGCAGCCGCCACATTCCCAGGCCACTGAACTCCAAGCGCAAACCGGTTTCCGGTTTCCAGTGTTTATGGAAACCTGGTACATGGCCCAAGAGATTACATGCAGTGCGCAGCAGTGGTCGAGAGAAACAAACGTCGCGCACAAGGCTGCAGAATTCGTCTTTCCTGTTGGCTTTCGGTGTCTGGGGTAAAGTCTTAGACGATTCTTCTGCAGTTGTGTCGTCAGCACAACTTTCTGATTCCTGAGAAGCGCTGTATGAGATCCATCCGATGTGCAGTACTGCATCCTATATTTTTCAGCAATCGGTACATGGCATGCAGTTGCCGCGATGTCGGTGCGAGCATGCACCCGAGACTTGGAGACTTGACATTGTACGGTCGTGACACGAAGGCCACATGTGGGTAACTGCAACTTCAAGGCAAGACGACCCCCCCTAGCTCCGACCGCCCGAAGGTGGAGATTGTGCCTCTTTGCGCCTCGGAAGAGAAGATGAGGTCTTGACAGGCATCAGCTGCGGATTGGGGCAGGCCTTGTGGTTCACAAACACGCGCTGCAGCCCCGCTTCCCAATCCTCACACCCGCTTCCACTCCCCACTGCCCTGCGAAGATCTCAGGAATATCACAAACCTCTGGCAAAAGTTCATGCCTGGCTCGGCACCTCCCAAGGAGTCGGGGCACCAAGGACAATAAATGCTGCGGTCACTTTCTGCCTTCGGACAGCGTGGACCTTCAACCCCAGAACACCGGATCTGGATACCAAGGTTGGGGGAGAACAGAGAGTGGAACGCCAGCACCTCAAGAACCGAAGCTTGGCACCGCGTGGACATGCCTGCCAGTTGCACCTTCGGAAACACAAAGCGCGCATGATGCCGCGTAGCTGATGCCTTTTCCATGATTTCGAGGTGGATCTGATCCCCAAGTTCATCATGGCCTCGGGCGACCTGGTGCCTCTCCGAGTATGGGCCATTTTTCTCCTCGTGGAGCCTGGCTCTCTTGCGAGGTGAAGATCTTGTTGAAGACGAAAGTCTCGCGATACTTGGAGCAGAAGCCTTGGAGACTGGCCCCCATTCTGGCATGGGTCTGCTAAGGCGGCAGTCCACTCGTGTACTGAAGCCTGCAACGGCTGAGGTGGAAATCTTGCGAGGGAACCTACGTCTACCAGCACAGCGCTCGGCATGTGATTTCGTCAGCAGCTTTGAGGGCCCTTCCAGTGTGCAGGTACCAGGAGGCGGGGCTGTTCTCGGGTGCCAAGTACATCCACAAGGCGGGCGAACAGGTTTGGAACATTTCAATTGCATGTGCCGTCCTTTGCTGCGTCGTAAGCATTCAGAGACCCTGCTTCGGCATCCGATTGCGAGGTGCCAGCCACCGCCACAGACGGCTTAAAGTCTCCATTGATGGGGATGCTCGAAAAGCCGGTGCCCAACACATCTTGATTAGTTCAAGCTTCGTACGATACTTACGCCTAGCATCACCCCCTGGTGCGATCGGACATAGGGCGGGGCAGTCATGCGACGCTGAGAGAAGCGACAGGCCACAGGTATCTGCGAGACACCCCTAAAGCTGCAAGGGCTTTTTTTTTGGTTTGACGGTTTTTTGGCTTTGTAGCAGAATGCCCAGGCCCCGCTTCATCAACTTTGCACAGTTCATCATGAACTGGGAGGTCCCTGGGCTTGGGCTTTGGATGGCTCTGGCTGCTCGTTTGCCAAACCTCCTTGCAGGATGACAAGCCCGGAACGCACCAGGACATCGACCCGAGGACCCTGGGCCGAAAATGCTGGGCATTTCGAGGGCCCTTGCGCAGCTACTCCTAGCTTATATCGGCGGGAATCGCGGTGCTGATCGGGATGCATTGACATAAGCCCCATCCCTGAGCTCCGCTGGCATTAGAAGTTCTGGGATACTCTGGTGCATTCAAGGCGGCACACCATGGCGCAGGTGTACCAGAAGCCTGTGCCCAAGGGCACACTGTGTATCTTGGAGTCTTAGTTCTGGGGATGCGAAGGATTCAACTGAAGCTGCTTGGATCGTCCACCCGGAACAACTGTCAGCGCAGTGAGGGGAGCCAGATTCCCACAAGCCGAGCTGCAGCTTGAAACTCGACACCTCAACCCAAAAAGCGAGTCTGTTACCGAGCGTCACGCTGCGGTGACTCTGGGCACGTTTTGACATGAGCTGTGCAGCTGGCCTTCTGCTCTGCAAGGCATCATGCGCAGTCCGAAAGTGAAACGCTTGATGCGGGCTTTCGGCCCCTTCCACCCTTGAGCGTGCGCACGGCGGGCAGAGCTGGTGGTCTTTTTTGAACCTCCGCTCCGAGGTTCGGCCTCCAGGAGTCCACCATTGACTTCATTGGCCACGCCGTGGCCTTGCCGGGAGCTCACGGGAGCTCACGACGGCTTGGAGGGCTCGGCCTTTTAGAGGTTCTTCTTCGTCTTTGTCAGGCACCCCAACGACAGCTACCTGAACGGACCTTGCGGACCAACAATTCAGAAGTGCAGGCGCCAGGGGAGCGTAAGCTTCTATTTATTCTACTTGGATCGTCTGCTGCTGCCCCAACATCTCAGTGGCTTTCCAGAAGCTGCCCTCATAGAGCTCTCAGAGCCAGGCTGTACCTTCAGTCCGTGCTCCAGTACGGAGGCCATGCCTCTGGGTTTTGGAGACTCAGGATTCAGAAGGAGAGACGCAAAAGTGTGGTAACGGCATACAGTATACAGCGCGCTCTTTTGCGTGAGCGGTGCTGCCTATCAGGCTCACCTTTCATCTACCCCATCTACGGGCTTGGCGGCTTGCCAGAGGGTGGGCCACCCGGGTCAGGAAAATTGCCAGTCCCCCATTCATCATGGGATCTCGAGTTCCTTGCCGTTTTCCGGCTTTCGTCTGTCTGTCGGTGCAGAAAGACACATTTGGGCTGAGTAGCGAACAGCTCAAGACACCATGAGTGACCACTCAGACGCCGAGGCTTCTCCCGCCTTGCGGCCATCCATAGGGGAACGTACATGCACCTCGCCTGCAAACGTTGTGTGCTATGTGGTTATGCTTGTTGTCGTCGTCATCGTCGTGGTCGTGGTCGTGGTGCTGGTTGTGGTTGTGGTGGTTGTCGTCGTGGTCGTCGTCGCGGTCGTTGTCGTCATCCTTGTCGTCGTCGTGCCTGGGACGTCAGAACCAGTACATGATTGAGGAAGCTTGATTGCAAGTCTCATTCTGTGGCTCATGGGTTGCCCTTACACCAGGCAGGGGACTCGGAGACTCCGAAATCCGCGTTGATGACAGCAACAACCCGGGACGCAGGTTGAACAAGTCAGTGGATGGCTTTGTGTACGATGACGCGGGCAAGGTGCAAATGCCTTGGGGTAGGGCGGGTGTTGCTTCATTCACAGTGTGCAGCCTCCAGGCCAAAGTAGGACCAACAAGTGTGTGTGTGTGTGGGTGTGTGTGTTCATAACTTGGTGCTGGGTAGCAAACAGAACCTCTTACAAGCCAGGCAGCAGGAGCATGCGTTCGGAGTGAATCCATCATGAGACACATTCCTATGAAACCCGAATGTCTTGATCACAAAGACTCGCGCGAATCCTATCCGAGCTCACGAGAGCAAAGCGGTGTCAACACGAAGCCTACGCTGCAGCCAGCTTCTAGAACTCCAGTCAAGGATACAAAGGCACGGCGAGAAAGCTCCATGCCCAGGTGTGCGGTGTTAAGTCAGGAGACGAAGTTGCCAAGTGCGCCCTTGGCCTTTTTCCGCCCAGCACGCTCCTGGCGATTCCAAACGTAAGGCAGGTCCAAGGTGCACGGGTCAGGGATGCGGGCACGTCGCATGTTAGATTTCTCCGCAGCATATTCGATGCTTGGCTCTTGATGTTTCGAGTCTGCAGCACTGTCTTCAGCCTGTGTTACAAGCTCTTCCTCGGAGACTACAAGACGACATCAAGGGCATACCAGAATCAGCTTGGCTCTGCAGCAATGGCTACGGTGGTTTGCCGCCATTGGATAAAAGGACCTCGCATAGTCGGCGTTTGGTGATTTTGTGCTGCTCGCCATGGCTTGTCATCCAAGTGCTATGGGCCAATGCACAAGCTCTGGGCAATTTATCCAAGCTACCGAGCGTGCAAACCCATGACACGGTTGAGGGCCTAGAATGCTTGCAGGAGTTTCGTGGCAAGTTTTCTTGATCAGCATGTGGGCAGTCCTCAGATGAAGCGCTGTTGTGCACAGACCCCATGTAGGATTATGAGTCGGCATCAATCTGAAAGCAGTAATTTGGTGGACACTTTTTCTTGTATTTTGCGACTGTTGCGTCACAGCAACAGAACCGAAGGAAGTGGCCAACATCATCTGAGGGTCCCAGAGTTCCTCCAACCTGAGGTTTGTTGGGGGATGTTGCTGTCCTGAGCACGAGCAAGGAGTTCTCTCATCAAGGGGTATAGCGGTGCCCTCTCCGGCAGCAGCTCTGCTTTAGACTGCTGTCTTGCAGGAGAGAGCCAAGGAACTTCCGTAGGCCCTCGGATGAGCATGCGACATATCCGGTCTTGCATTAAAAGCCCTACTGAGAGAATGCTTACCGATTTCCATGACCAGGATACTGCGAGAGGGGCCCCTTGTGCAACTTCCTGCACCCGGGTCAAGGCCGGCTCTTTGTTGTCAACCGTCCGTTTGGACAGGAAGCATTTTGCGGATTCTGGCAGAGCAGGTGTCGCAGTTTGATGGAAGCCGGACACCGGCAGTTCAAGCTATTGGTAGGCCTGCATTGCTCTGAAAGGTGCTGACGGCGGCTGGTCTGCCGGGATCTCGGTCCGGTCCGGGAGAGTTGCATCCTTCAACGCAGCCAAAGCCGTCTTGCACTGGAATTTTTGTCGAGGACAATGCCGCGCAGGCCTTCAATGCCGCAGAGGCATGGAGCCGGGGACTCAGGAAGGTTCTGCACCCTTAAAAAGGGGACTCGCTTTGCCTCTCGGCCAGGGTTTGGAAGCTATGAACATGCAGCTCACAGCTCACAAAGTCCGGTGTCAGCACTTCCGTCTTTTCAAGCATGTGTCTACAGATCCGCCTCCCCGAGGTTTGGAGCTTGTGAAGCAATCAGTGTGCATTTTGTTCCGTCCAAGGCCCCGATCCACGGAAGCGCATGAGCACATCGCTGCTTGGCGCGTTTCAGCAGAAGACATACAGAGCCGAGAGCCACAGCTAGATTCTGCCTCAGGTGGAAGACAGACCGAACTTGAGTGCACTCATGTGCGAGGGAACAGTTTGCTTTCGGTCCTGTCGCAAGAAAGCCAAACGGAGGAAGAATTAGACTGGACTCTGACAGTCTGTGGCTGTGGTGTACAGGCCCACCAGCACCAGCACCAGCACCAGCACCAGCACCAGCACCAGCACCAGCACCAGCACCAGCACCAGCACCAGCACCAGCACCAGCACCAGCACCAGCACCAGCACAAGTCAGTGTCAGTACGAGCACCGCCACCACCAGCACCACCACAATTTCGGCAGTGTGGGTACTGGGGCTTATCATTTTGTGATGCATCGTTTCTTCCGGACCCTGTCTTGCGCTGTCATACCTGTCAGGTGTGACGCTTCCGCCGCAACCTGTAGCAACAAATCCTGACTTAGTGGGAAAAGTTTTGTGAATTGCCGCATACGATAGAAGGGAATGCTTGACTAATTTTCCACTCAGACGCCCTTGCCCGTTCTGGCCCCGAACAGCAATCTACCGGGTACACCGCCACAGTACCACAGCTCCAAGCCTGGGAACTTAGCCGCTTTGCTCTTCACATGCAGGGAGGGGCCCATGGCGAAGCGGCACAAGTCGGTGCCGTGCCGCCACTATTCCCGCGGTTTCTGCCAGCTGGGTGACAGCTGCAGCACGGGACTTAGACAAGTGCCTGAGGTGTGAAAAGGCACAGCTTGCGGGGCTTTGGGCCTCGGGATCTCATTGGGACCAGGGCACCAGCTCAAGGCCCGCAAGTTATCTCAAAGCCTTTGAACCGGCCGAGACTTCCTCCACGAGCCGTCGCTGGTGGTGGGTCCACCGCTCCTCCACGAGCCGTCGCTGGTGGTTGGTCCACCGAGAGTAGTGCCGCCGCCGACCCGGCAAGCAGGCGCTTTCCCCTGCAAGGGTTCACCAGGTTTGCTACCTTTCTGGCTCTGAGCAGGCTCTTCGCTCAGCAGTGGGTCCAGAGCTCCAGAGCTCCGGATCCACTCCTAGGAATGAAACACGTCGCATCTGCGGGAAGGCACGCTGCCTACCCCGGTCGCTGTTCCGGTTGCTGCTGCCGAAGGAGCGGCTGCGGAGCAGGCCAGCCTGAGAAGAGGATTTAGAAGAGATTCCGCTTGAGACCATATTTGGGGAGTTGGCAGACTTGTGAAGGCTTCTTTTGGTGTCTGACGGGGAAAGGAACCGATTGACCGAGCGATTCGGATGTGAATTGGAGGGACCTTGCTTCGGACAGCCCAACAAACGAATCGCAGCCACCCCGCGAAGGCTCCGCAAAACGACCTCGGCGAGATGGCCCAGTCTGTGGCGCCCGCAGGTGGGCGCACCTACAAGAAGTCGAAGCTATGCAGCTTGGCTACTCATTGCAGTCAGCTGCAGATTCTCGCTAACACCCTTGGTTCTGTATGGAAGGCTTTTGCAAGCAAGGAGCGCGGCATAGCACGGCACACATGTCTCGGCCAATGTGTTTTGTGATGAGCCCTCCACGCACGTTTTGAATCGAATTACACGGCCTGGCGCGGACTATTCTCGCATGGGAAATGCATAAGCTGATACTGGCGACAAAGAGAAGAGCAGCAGTTAGTCTGACGGCGCCGTTAGCTGCTTGCAAGCGTGACCAGACGGTCAAGCGCTTGTGCTAGAGCGAGGTATCCATCACACGAATGGCTACTGCAGCCGGGGCTCTACCTGCAACTTCGCCCATGGCTGCTTGGCACTGAGGAAGCGGTTTCTTTTGGTAGCTGTGTGGTTTCTGCAAGACCGTCGCCTGCGCGTCGTGCCGCCTCACCTGTCTCGCATTTTGCTCTTCAACTGCCTGCATCCTCCCAGGAGAGCATGAGCTCGGGACACCCCAGCCATCAGCTGATGCCGGCTGGTGTCCTGGCACTGAAGAGCGTCGGCCAGTCTTGCAGTTCGGGGCTTCTCTGTTAGTCGCTCCTAGCCAGGGCCGCACAATCAGCTCAACAGGCGGGCCGGGGCCTTGCCGATATTTTTATGAGTCATACAGCGGCAGGCATGGAGCAATGCTGATGAGAACTTTACACCGGGCTTTCGCAAATTAAGATGGGGTGTCTTGTTTGGCAGCAAAGATGAGTATGATTCACAAGTAGACATCAAAAGTACTGCAGTGCGCTGTATGCAGGTTTCCTGCGGTGTTTGCCATCGCTTACTGTGCCGTCGAGTGCGTAGTTTCGCGAGAACCAGATAACATGCTGCCATCTCAAGTCCTGCAGGACTGGCAGTCGAATGGCTGGCAATCGAATGGCTGGCAACCGAGTAACTGGCAGTCGAACGGCTGGCAACCTAACGCCTGGCAAGGAAACGGCTGGCAGAAGCTTGGCTTGGCCTTTTGCGTCAAAGGAGACTTGTCAAGGGTCGGATTTCAGTTCTGTGATCGTCTCCGGGTCTTCATTGAGTGTCCTTGGTCATGTTACATCGGCGCTTTTCGGGTTTGGCGGGATGGCCGAACTCAGCACGTTTCTGTCGCCTTATCGCCACTTCCTTTTTTGCCTACCTCGTTTGTTCACTCTTTCGTGATCGTCTGATGTTCTAGGACAGCAGAGGGCTAGGACCTGATTTGCTGGGAAAGCGCAAGGCAGAAAGAGACACGAGGGCAGCAAGGAGTTTAGAACGAGGCATTGACGAGGCATTGAGCCGAGCCATGCTGTCGGATCAAAAACAGCACTCCAGGGCTGGCGGCTCCAACGGTTCCGTACAATGTCGGCACTTCGCCCGCGGCTACTGCTGCTCGGCAGTAATGTGAGGCAACGAGAAACAGAGGTTCCCGCGTGCATCAACTTTTCGCCATCTGCCAGCGAGTTTTTGAGAGGTGCTTTGGGTGAGAAGTGCAACTTCGCGCATGACGGCCCACCGCCGCGAGGGCCCCAGTGCTTCGACATGTCGGTTCTTGGTCTAGTGTGAAGAAGTTATGGGTCATGTTTTGCATGGAGAAAGTGACAGGCGTACTGGTAGTCGGACACAGCAGAACAATAATGAGAGACACCAGGCAAGAAATTGAAGGCCCGAAGCCACAAGACCACACGTCCGAGTCAAGCTATTCTGTCCCAGCCCCGACCGACCTTCCGGACCCGCCACTGCCCGCCACTGCCCACACGGTATATCTCGAAGGTCATTCCCAGATGGCTGGGTGATCCGGACCAAGGAGGTGCAGAGACTCCAGTGATTTTGCACGGCCTAGACATTCGTTCTCTGCGCAAAGGCTCTGTTTTTTGGGGTCGCGGTGTGGTCTGTGTCCCAAGTTGCAAGGAAATCCAGCTCTACAACTTCAAGACGACGCTGTGTCGGGACAGCGAATTGGTGCAGTGTGGCCTTGGGATGTCTCTGCACGTGTGATGAATGCGCCAGTTCTGACCTACTTGTTCAGCTCGCATCTTGAATCCAACCCTCAGTCAGGTTTCTTCTCGCCTGCGCCACGACACATGTCCAGATTCTTGTAGCCCGGTGCTTCTCACTACCTTGCACAAGCTGGAATTCCATAAGCAATGCTATGAGACCCGAAGAAGGCGTTGGGATCTTCCAAGCTGCGAGCCCCAATACCCGATTGCTTGGGATGCCAGCTGCTTGGTAGGACTTTCAGAAGGTGGGTAGCTGCCCACGTGGCGACGAGTGTCACTGGCACGCATAGTTGGACTGTGGCTGCCATTGGTGAGGAGTCAGTTGCATTTGCAAGGGGATCAGTCTTGTTCCTTGGACCTGGGAAAAAGCTAGGAATGATCAGCAAGTGCATGCCGGGGGACTCATGCACTTGCATTCTGATGCGAAGGCAGAATTAGGGACTCAGGGCATCTCTGGTTTTGATGTGTGTTTTGGGATGCAGCAAGTCGGCCTTTCTGCCTAGGGCCTAGTACTTTCCGGTGGAAGTTGGTAAAGAAAACGCGAGGCACCTTTGCCCATGGCGAAGCGGAGCTCCAGAAGCCAGGAGAGGTGCAGCAGGCCACTGTCCCTTTGCCCTGTTGGGGTCGGGAACACTGTGGAATCAGGCAAGTGCTGAGTCCCTCCGGTCCGAGTTCAGGAGCCACAAAGGGAAAAGCTAAAAACAAAACTCTGAACGACCGGCCCTGCATTGCGCCGTGCGAGCAGTAAGACCACCGGCGACCTTCCAAATTTCAGGGAGAACTCTTCCGCCAGAAAAAGATCCATAAAGATCACCCCCCCCCCCCGGCGTTTAGGTTCAAGAGCACCTCCCCGCACCCTCTTTGCTCAAAGCATCTGCGGTCAGACGTTGGGCAGCCTGCAGAGCGGCCAGAAGTCGCAGTTCACGACTGAGGCCGGTTGGAAGCCTCTGACTTCCTGCATGTTCTTTGGCTGAGAAAGCCAACAAAAGCTTGTGACTTTGGAATCGGGGAGGGGGCGGGGCCTTTGGCGGCTTCTGCTCTCAGCTTCCGACTCGAGCAGTGTCTGCTACTACAGGTTTTCTCTTAACACGCTTGCTTTTGGAGATCTCTCTCTCTCCCTCCCTCGCTCGGGCCGGGGTTGTTCACGTTCCGCAGCTCTTGGACACCCTTCCGTGTCCCTCTCGACCAACTTCTCATAGGCCCGTGGCAGTCTCAGCGCTTGTTGGCATGCATTTCGCTCGTGCGCGCACGCACGCGCGCGCGTGCGCGCGTGAAGTTTGAGTCGTACCTCGGCTTTGGCTTCTGCGTGTGGCATAGTAGGTCGAAGCCTGCCCAAGCAGGAGCTGAGACTCCGAATCTGGGATGTGTGTCCAGGAAAAGCAGCGGTACAACTACAAGACGAAGCTCTGCAGGGCAACTGGGCGGCACAACACTCAATTACCTGCCCGTTCAGACACGGCATATCACGGTGCAGTGAGCCAAAGCTGGCTCTCAACCACAGGGCTCCCCCTTCCCTGTATTCACCGTTGCTTCTTGTCGGTCTGTCGCCACCTTGCAGATTGGGCAGTTCCTCACGCTCGCGCTCGCTAACCCATGGGTTTTCATCACCAGGTCTTCAGAGGCTCCCTTGAGCATTCAAGAGTGTGACCAGTAGCGTAGCGGCGTAGCCCCTCCCTCAGTGCCAACGTCCTTTATACACTGAAATTCGCTTGCATTCTCTGAAGACACTCAGGAGTTCAGTGCCAACGGGTCCTGCCCCCGTGGAGACATCTGTATTTTGGCTTAAATTGTCGCCAGAGCCGTGGGTGTCGTCCATGCACCGAGTTGAATCGCCCCGGTTTTCAGTATCGACCGATTGGATGGGACGTTCGTGCTCAGCTCTTCGGATGCGAGGGCCCGTCTGAGTCGTCTTCAGGCAGCTTCGCGCACGGGCAGGAGGAGCTGCAGAAGCCCGGTGCGGTGCTTTAGGCTGGGAATGGGAGGTTCCTCCTTAGCGGCGATGCTTCAGATGCCGTGAACCAACCGAACTTGTGAGACTGTGGACTCCATGCCAACCCTTTCGCCGCAGGTCGGCTCGGCCTTTGAGGCGCTGGTATAGCTTGAGGTGCGTAGGTCTTGCGCCTGAGTCCGAAGCGCAGTGGCGATTCTCGGAAGACTGCCCCTACCAGCAACACGTGCTTTCATCCCAGATCAGCAGTGTCCACCGCCTTCCAGCTGCGAGACTCACACATTTGCGCTTCTGGTTTTCAGTCTCACGACCTTACAGCTCGGCTTCCCGGCATGCCGAGTCTTTAAAGAGAGTCGAGATGCGTTGGGTCAGTCAAGATGCATGGTATGGAATGGGCCTCTTCCGAGCCCGTCGTTGAGATGCACCTCGCCCCAATCTCATACTCGCCCCCCCCCCTGCGCAGATGCAAGATGGTCATCTGTGACCCGTCCTATGCAGAGCCGACGAGGCCTTGATATGAAGCTCGATCCCAAAATCCGCTTTTGAACTCACCTGGAGCCAGAAACCCGAAGGACCCTGGCATCTGTTCAAAGACCTAAGCTGCGGGAGTCTACAGACCAAGAAGCTTTCAGCCTCAAGAACTCCCTGACCTGAGAGCCCAAAGAGCCTTGGGTCCTTGTGGGTCTTCACAACGCTGATTTCTCGAGGACGGAGGTGAAAGGTCAAGTGATCCGCGCTATCTGCGGCGGGCCCAGAAAGACAGTGACTGCTTTGGCGAGAGCTTCGTGGGCAGAAAAAGAGCTCTTCGGGCCCTCCACCTCTCTTTTCAGGCATCCTTGGTGCCCCCATCCCGGAGACAAAGAACCAGGAGCCGAGGGGGGCGCCAGGGCCGGGAAGGCGACGCACCCCGAAACGCTTGGGCAGGAGGGGAAGCCAGCCTTGTCGTGCCAGATCATCTTCCCGCAAAAGCAGTGCCGCCCTCGTTTGGGAGGCACTCTTCTTCGTGCCGGGCGTTGGATAATTACTTTTCTCTTTGATTCGCTGCTTGGGTTTTGGTTGTAATAGTCTTTTCAGTCTCGTCTTCACTTGAATGCTTGATCTGCTGAGCCTGCTTACCAGTTCAAGAGGAATGAAAGAGGTCTCGATCTTTTTTGCGAACAAAGCAACATGGCGGCGGTTCACGGCCAGGGCCGGAGAGGACGAAACAGCAGCCCTAGGGTTAAAGCTAGCATGCAAGTCACAGGAGCATGAAACTCCCAGTTCTCGCTTTGCGACCTACGAGTCCAATGTTTTCGGTGCCCACTCCATTGCGCAGGAAAACTCGGGCGAAGCACTGACATGTTGACCCTGCAGGCACAGGAGCGAGGATCCGAACAACACAACAAGGTTCTCCTGTTTTGTTTGCAATGCAGGCATGTGCGAAGGACCGGGGATCGCACGGAGAGGGTCAATGTCCCAACATATCTGCTTGTACTGATCCACAGGCCTGCCATAAGCGACAGTAAGCCCTGTAACTGCCCTTTGCACCGACCCATCCAGAAAGACAGCAGTTGCACAGGAAGGAAGGCCATTTCACTTTGTGAGTCCCTGAAGACCGTCCTAGGCGCAGGAATAACCAGCCACCAAAGCAACCACGACAGGAAACCACTCCAAAATTTCCCCACCGTACCACTCAGTGGTTATTCGGCATCGACCGGATGAACCTCGTGGCGGCAATCCAGATGATCCGCAAGCAAGGCATAAAGTCGTGATCATTGGTGTTGTCCCTTCTCGTCAGCTCCGGCCTTTAGGTGATGTATCCCACTGCGAGACGCCCCCTCGTGCGCTGCGGCTAATGATAGTGCTGAGGCTGAAGCGCAAGAATGACGTCTATGTCATGCCTGACACTCAGAGCCAGAGAGGCGCAGGGCTCCACGCAGAGCACTGGGCCTCCCAGTTTGCGGCCGGTAGGCTAGGGCTGCTAGGAGGCGGTCGTGAGTGTGACCTGAAGCATCTAGAAGCACCGGATTGTCGGGTGAACTGTTACACACAGCCTAGCCGCAGCCGAGCTCAAGTCCTCTACTACGCGACCTTGTAAGGATGGTTTCATGGGCGCACTGCATCGCCGCGAAGGAGTCCTCGGGGGGGGGGGAAGGAAGCAGTTGAGCATCTCCCGGTGCTCTTTCGTAGCGCCTTCAGCGTTTGCTTGGCGTCCTCGGCATCCTCCCTGGTATCCGACCTACAGGGTTCATATTTGCCGTGTTGCAGCCTGTTGCAGCCCACGTCCGAGGTCCCCATTGCCCAAGGTCGTGTTTTGGCCTGCATGATGTCGATTGCCGCAGCATTTTTTCGGGGAAGGATGATCGGTGCATACACGAAGCAGCTTCCGGTGTAGTGCAGAGCGAAAAGCAAAGCCCAGCTCGGTGTGTGTGTGTGTGTGAGACACTGTTCCTCTGTCGATAGGAGAAGTACGTGGCCATTGTGAGCACGGTGGTGGAGACTTCGAGCCTTTCGCGGCCTGTTTAATCTGCCATCAGTGAGCTTCTCCCTCTCAAAGACCGTCGGACTCGCGCCAGACCCGGAGAGAGAGATCGAGCCTGCCCTGAAGCTCCTGGGGCCCATCCAGCACAAGTCGGGAGCCTCGGCTCGCGGCTCTTCGGGGGGGGGGGGGTCGGCGACTGCTGTCCCAAAGCCTTTCAGGTTCGTGCAGATCAGCGAGATCCGCGAGCCAGTTACGGACGGCACTGCAGCCCTGCCCTCGGCTCCCGGCTTTCTCCGCTCATCCACATCTCTGCAATGCAACTTTACCCAAAAGTCCCTGAAGAATCACTTCTCGAAGTTTTTTTGGATGCCCAATTGTTGAGAGTAGATCTTTCCAGGAACAGTTGAGAGCTTCCTTACCGAGAAGAGGAAAGGGTAAGTCAGATATGTTAAGATCGCTCCAGCGATATCCATCCATCAGAGAACCCTACAAGCTATCGTGCGGCCGGCGATTGAGTCTTAGACTTGCACTGTGTGTTGCACGAACCGGTTTACAACATGCCGAGACCTCAACTCCAGCGAATCAAGTGACTGAGCTGCTTTGGCTAGACTGTAAATGAGACTGAACCATGATGAAAGTTTAAAGCCATCGTGCCGTGTCATCTTGCCTTCCCTCTTCCGGTCTGGACGACGTTGACCATGGAGCCTCTGTTACACACTGAAGGCAACACCAAAGGCAAAACTCAGAACCAGCAGCCATTTGGTCCAAAAGTCTCCGAAGTCTTTGAGACTCCTTGCCACCAGGATGGCGTTTTCGTCACGAGCAGCTACGACCCGTCTTCGCACTTTGAGGACATTGGGACCCCCAAAATTGCGGAGCAGCGAAGTGTGCGTAGAGTGTTTGGGCCCTCGGAGGACGCCTCCACGGAAGTGCTGGCCCTGCCGGGCTCCTGAATACTCTGGCGGGCTCGGTTCACGGAACTTCTTCCTTGTTTTTAGATGGAGCTGGCTGGGTGATGGGGGAGTGGCCAAGGACAAGAAGGCAAACACAATCACACGAATCACAATGATGAGACCAGGGCTGCTAGACCAACTCCTCCTGCACCCACATAACGACGAGGAGGAGGAGGAGAAGGATGATTTCTACTATGGCGAGCGACTAGGAATCGCTATTACATGCTATCACGTTTATGTGCAGGGCTCTTGCAACTGTCAGCAATTTTAGGGTGTCATCATTTAACCCATGTCGCGACAAGGCAATGGATGCTTAATCAGCGTGTCCGTGGTTGGGTTCAAATTTGGTCGTGCTCTTCGTCAAGCATTGAATGCCGCCTCAACAAACAAAGGCCGCTGCCATGTCCAAGCATGTCTGTCACTGCAGTCGGCATAGGGAGGGAGTCGGCATCAAGCTGAGTCTGTACGCCTACGGCCATGAGCAGGCTGACACCATAACTTTCCATTTTTGTCAATTTTGTGTGTGTTAGCGATCGTGATTGAAACTCAGACACCTTTTAACCAGGAGCTCACGATCGAACATTGAGCATTGAGGTGGAGGAAAATCATGGGCGAGAGCCTGGACCTCACCGTCCTCCCTGAGGAGGAGGCCTCTAGACGGGTGGGAGACCGTAGTGTGTGAATTTGAGCCTCCTTGGTGGAAGTGTCTTTGCCAGCGGACGTCGTTATAGTTTCAATTTTTCTATTCTTGCTGGTGCTGAAGGTGCTGCACCTTTGCTTTCCGCTCCGACTGGTACTTCCTCTGAACCCCTCTGTCCATCCCGGGTGCTGCTCCGTTTCTCGTCTCCTGGGGCCAGGATCAGTAGCTCTTTGATGTCCTGCCCTCAGCTGATTAGAGTCGGCTTTGAGCAGCCTGAGACTTTCCTCCAGCCAAGGGGAAGGCAAAGGGTTCTAAATCGTCAGCCGCGATGGCAAGGGGGGCATGGTCCTGTGTAGATCAGCTGACTTCTCCAGTACAGCTCCGTATCCTTGGGAGCCAGACTCCGCTCAACATCCTGATACACCTTAAAGCTTCGGTAAAGGGTAGTGTGCCATGTGCCATGACCCTCGTTGACAGCCCTAAGCGCCAACGCTATGTGCGATGTCCGCTGAGGTCCTCGGTTGTGCAGTTGAGGCAAAGTTAGGAGTAGAGCGGACCCAAGCTGAGAGGGGAGGGGGCGCTCGCAAAACACGCGTTTCAGGCCCCGCAAGGCCCGGTCTTGCATCCCAAGAGCCTACGGCCCAGCCTTTGATTTCGTCCTTGCGCCGTGATCACCCTCGTCATTCTTTTGTCAATCGAGAGCTACCTGCGCGCTCGCGAAGCAGACCGACGGTCCACAGACAGCTGTGCCGTGCAGAAAAGCTTGCACTGTCTGCACACGGCCAGGGCTTCTAGGAGTTTGTCTCAGCTTCGCATCCAATCCAATGCAAACTTGGATTGCCACGGGCTCAGACCGCCCGAGCCCGACAATCGGGCCGGGTGGGGGCATCCTACACGCCCCATCCCCCAAACACTCCCAGCCACAACGTCAGAAGGAATTCGGAATATAGGCTTTGGCGGTTTAAGGCCTCCGCCTTGTCGAGTTGTAGAGTCCGAGCACAGAGCCTGAACACGGATCGGTTTGTTGGAATCCATTCGGGGAGTGGGCCGCGATGGCCATCGTGCAATCGCGGAGGCGTGAGTGCTGTGCCTCTCCTAAGGTTATAGTCAGACTGCAGCCAACTGGTTTTGCCTTTTCAGGCTAGCCACTGTTTCAATTCTGCTTCGAACCAGGATTTGCTCATGCGACTTGTGGCTGCCGGACCAAAGATCCTCTCTCGACCTCTCCGATGGCAAACTATCGGTGTAGCTTGCGCCGCTCTTTTTTGGCACAGGTCCATCTGGTGCAATGTAGTTGCCGGAGGCCCCAGGATATCAATAACCTTGAAAGGGTTTGCTTCCGTGCAAAAGTTTCGGGTTAAAACACCGCCATGGGAGGAGAAAAACCTTCCGGGCAGCTTGATGTCACACCTTTGCAAAGTTTCGAAAGTCGAGAAGGAGCTCTTGAGTTTGGGATCTCAACAGGAGCGCTGGCCGTGCAAACTGATTCCGAGGTCCTGGCGCTCTGGCTTGGCACAGCGGAAGCTGGCTGGAGCCTTGATGAACGAAGGAGAGAGAGCTGAGGGAACCATGCTGCGACGAAAGGCATGAGATCACGACTGAGCTTGCCCGTAGAAGTCTGTACTGTACCTGCCAGCAGCCTATCGGCATTGTTTGTCTTGGGTGCTCAGGTCCAGAGCAACCGACACCCCTGTCGGAGAAGTCGACAGCTCTGAAGAAGGTCGTGCTTGACTGGCGTGTCTGACTTCAAGTTATCTGAAATCTGGTCAGAGTACGCCGCTCTTGTGTGCAAACCAGTCGGAAGCCCTCGGTATGCGAAGGAGTGACGGAGACCTGCGTTTGCTGAGACTATCACTGCCGGCAGGTTACGCAGCTTCTGACAGAGCTCACGTCACAGCTCAAGGAGGACAAGGAGGTGGGGAGACACAAGAAATCCCGAGAGCCAGTTTGCTGAAGTCTTTCAAACTCAACTTTGCACCGCTAGCTGCTGGCTGGTGAAGAGCGATCCTTCGTTCCAGTTTCGTTCCGGGAAAGCGCACGGCAACTCCCGGATCCGAGGTCAAGGTTCAAGGCTCGCCATTCTGTGCCCAGGCAGATCAGAAGCAGTTCTCCGAGTATGAGAAGTTGACAAAGGCACGGCCACTTCCGTGGTCAGTGAGCCGTGCCACCAGGTTTCAAGCTGCCAGAGCAGCCAAAAGTGTCCTCTTCAGAACGATAGGTTTTGCGCATCGTCCCTCGAATCCCGGACTGCTAAACTCGAACGGAAACCATCGGAGCCTTCGCACAGCGCCAAGACAATCCTCTCTGCCCGAGGCAAGTATTACCTCAGCCACTGCCACGGTGGAGCAATGCACCACGCAAGTTGCTGAATTGAAGGCCGGGTGACTGCCTGTGACCTCTTTGCCTCTTTGGTTCGCCTTCTGCCTCGCAGAGACCCTGCAGAAAATTGGGACGAGAGACCTCTCTGGAGTTTAGCAGCTTAGCAGTGTCGGAATCGGAGGTGGTTTGTGCAGCTGCTATGCTCGAATGGAGGGCCACAACTTGAACTGGAGTGGCACGGCCCCTTCGATCCGTCAATATTATTTTGAGTACCTTCCGTGCAGCCGGTCTATTTTGAAGTTATGTGTCCGGCCGGGGTGTAAGCTGTCGTGTGACTTCCACTTCCGGGTTGCGATATGTTCCCGCCCTGCCACACTGACCATCGGTTGGTATCGATATCGATAACTCTTACGCGCCCGGAGTCATGAAGTCTGCATGGCAAGATGCGTAGAAGGGTCACGACGAAGCTTCACATTAAGACTGAAAGACACGAGTGGCTTCTCTCAGGGGCCGGGGTAGATGGGTAGCAGCATCACATACTCCGGAGCTTGAACCTTTGAACCCAAGCTCTCAGATGGCCGTCAGGCGAGCATCGTCACGGCGGAAGCTCAGCAGGCACTGGACAGAACTGGGGGGGGGCTCCCCCTGAATCCCTTACCCTGGATGTTGCCGCTGTGGCCTCCAATGTCTCAACATGTCGGAACACCAGTCGCTCGAAGCCGGGTTTCGTTTGTTGGTGTTGAAGCTCTTCGGGTCCTTTTCCTACCTGAGGAGTGCTTCAGAACTTCTGTGCCATGGAGCGAGGCTGAAAAGAAGAGCCTCCTGGAAACGGCTGCCTCCAACCTGCTTCAGTCGCAGAAGGCATCTTCTTTTTCTCGGGTTTGGGGGGGGGGGGGGGGGGGTCCCTAAACCCAAAACCCTAAACCCTGGCTTCCATAACCAGGCCTCAACCAACATGGTTTCTATTCCGGACTATGTGATCATAAAAAAAAAGGCCTAAAAACCTAAAAAAACCCCAAAAGTCTCAAAAGATCTTCGCCTCTTTTTTTTGGCCTCTGGAGGAGCTGGAGCTGGCGAAGCAGCAGCGGCTCACTGAGAAGGAGGGGCCTGCTCTGCTCTGAAAAAGGGGCCTTTTAAAGGGTCCGGTATATTATTGTATCACAGTAGGTTATATACTAATTATATACCATAGTATATTATGCTATTAACTGGTATTATCGTGTATATTTATAAACCCTTTGAGAGAGGGAACCCCCTTTGCCTCTCCTTGGCTCCCAATCTGGGCCGAACTGCAGGAGACCTTTGTCAAGAATGCTGCGCAGCTGTGACTTGGCAGCGAAGCGCAGCGAAGCTCAAAAGGGAGCGGTTCTCGCCGAACTCCGGCCGAGTTGCCTTTGCAGATTGGGCTGCGACTTGTATTTCCAGCCCGGCAAGGCAGAAGAGCACCGACAACTTGAACCTTGCCTTGCAGACCGTGAAAAGTGCGGGGCCCTGGCTGACCCTGGCTTCTTTGTGCTTCGTGGGCCCGGAGTTTGGTTTTCTGCCAAGACCCCTGTGACTGTCGACCGAGCTAAGCTGGAATTTTGGGCCGTGTCGTTGTAAAGCCCGCAATCGCGAAATCCTGACCGACACCTTACCTTGTCCAACAGTGAAGCTGTTTGTTCGGACGCCTTGTCCTCCATGCCGCCGGCCAAGGCATGTCTGAAGGTCTGGCCCTGAATGGAATCACTGACGGGTAGCAGGGCTGTTTCGTGCCCTGTAAGAGACCAGCTTCTAAACCTGACATGTGCTTGGAGAGTTGTCTTCGAGCCACGTCGAATGTGTTGCCTGTTTATATGATCGGATGAATCGGGCCGGTGCTGACTGGCAGGAAAAGGCCTGTGTTCGACTTGAGGTTTAGATCTCCAGCGATCTGAGAAACATGCGCATAGTGCCTGAACGTTTTCGAGAGCAGCTCCCTTTTGCAGAGGGAAAGTCACTCATTTTTGCCTTATATTTGTTGTGTTGATCTGTGCCTTTTAATTCGTCTTGATCTGTGCCTTTTCTTTTTGTCTGTGCCGCCATAGTATGTGTACTAGTAGTTGTAGTGGTAGCAGTTGTCTTTAATAGAAGTACTAGTATTGGTATTAGTATTAGTATTCGTGTTCGTATTCGTATGAGTATTAGTATTAGTACTAGTATTAGTGTTAGTACTAGTATTAGTATTAGTATTATTATTCTTTTGTTATTGTTAGTAGTAGTTACCATACCCTTCCAGACTCGGGTATTCTTAAATCCGAAGGAGTGAATCCAACAGGAACCGTTTACCGAAGACGAAAAACCCAATGAGTCAATCCGGCAGGAATTTCTTACCGAAGATGAAGATCCTAACGAGTGAATCCAGCAGTAAAAAAACCCTGAGGAGTGAATCCAGCAGGAACCTTTTACCGAAGACGAAGACCCCAAGGCGTGAATCCGGCAGGAACGTTTTACCCGAAGATGAAGACCCTAAGGAGTGAATCCAGCAGTAAAATACCCTGAGGAGTGAATCCAGCACGAAGACCCCAAGGAGTGAATCCGGCAGGAACTTTTTACCGAAGACGAAGACCCCAAGGAGTGAATCCGGCAGGAACTTTTTACCGAAGACGAAGACCCCACGGAGTGAATCCGGCAAGAACCTTGTGCCGAAGAGAGAAGCCCTAAGGAGGCGAAAACCCTGAGGAACGAATCCAGCATGAACCTGTCCAAAAAAAGAAAAGTGGGGAGTCACAGATGACTGACGAAAAGGCACAGATTAACACAATCCATGTGTTTTCGAGCCAGGACACAGGAACCAAGATGTACAGGAAAAGGAAAATGCAGGCGCTGCACAGGAAAAGGCAGAGAAAAACCACAGATCAACACAAGCTAAAGGGCGCAGATAAGCAAAAAAAAGCAAAAATCGCAGTCGCTCCACCACCCAGAGGACACACAACCAGTGACAGTTGAACGTCTGAGGTGCAGGTGCATCCGGCCTCTTGCAAAGCTCGGGAAGGAAGCCTTGCACTCGGCTGGCCTAAAGGGCTTTCTGGAAACCTTCTCCAGCAGAAGCTGTCTCGTTGGGGCACTATCGGTCAGAAGTCTCTCTGCTGACTGCATTTTCTGCTTTTGGCCCCGCCCTGATCCATGGGGCCCACACATGATCCATGGATTGGCCTGAACTGAAGGCCAATATACCACTGGACGCTAGTTTTTTTTCCATAGCTTCAGCCAAACTCAGTATGAAAGATATCGTCATCGCCCCCGGATCCATCTTAAACGGCCCCGTGCAAGATGAATCAGGAAAGCCCGTCTGCCCAGAGAGCGGCTGCTAGCAGCGACCTCGCAGCTCCAGCCGCGACCTCGGGCCCCCGGCGCAGCTCGGAGCAGGGGCTGTGAGCAAGAGCAGCGCAAAAAAAAGCAAACCAAGCAATCACAAGGCTGAAAGAACTTGAGGTCATGCAATCGGAGTTGAGGTCATTGAGAGTCCAATCCATGTCGTGGAGAGGTCGTGCTTCGACGATACACATGGGATCCCGAACACTTGCAAGTACGCAGAGCTTGCATGACGGTTGTTACGTATCTGCAACGGTGCATCAACCACTGAAGCTCTAGGGAGGCTGTCAAAGCAGGAGCATCTGCATCTTTAGGACGGCGCTGAGTGCGGGTGCAGATGAGTTGCTGACTGCAAATCAGCTGGAGCCTCAGAAAAAGTCGCTCGAGTGGTGGATGGGTGCGGTGGGTTGCATGTTGCTGCGGACCTTCTTCTTCTTCTTTTGAGTAAGTGCGTTTCAGCTTTCAAACTTGACGTGCGAGAGAAAGCTGGGAGTTGACTGCAAGACTTGCATGGGTCACCAACGAGCTTTGATTATGCGATAGCTTTCAACACGGGCGTGCGTGTGCGCGCGCACGTGTGTGTTCATGTTCGGGGGGAGCGGTGGGGCCCTTCGGTTCGTCAACGTAATTCTTAGACCAGCTTCTCTACACCCTTCCTATCCCACAATTCACGACATCGCTGGACATCACCGAGGGGTCGCAACGATGAAAGTGAACATGGTAGAGTTGCAGGATTTTGCATGGCTACCTGCCCTCCCCCAAAGTTTGCTTGCGTTACTTCCTCTATGCTTCTGACTCCTCCAAGACCTGCATGGCAGGCAACACTTCCTGTCCCGCCTGCTGACCGTGGCCGGCCGATCACGAAAGGCACCCTTGGCAATGTGGGTGCAATACAGCAGCTGGACCACCTCATCTCTGCTACTTCGAGGATAAAGGAAGCCTCGCCACAAAAGCACTCTTCTTGCACAGCCACTGTGGAGGCACAGACTCCGCCTGCTGCTGTGGGCTTTCTGCAGGCCGCGAGTGGACAAACATCAGCACTAAGTTCCCAGCAAAAGGGAGCGAGCACAGAAGTTCCGAAACGCAGAGAACACTGCAGCAATGAGCCGAAATATTCCCACAGCACCATCAACTACGTGCACAACTTCTGCTGCAGCTGCTAGTGTTACTTTTCAGCCACTACCGCCACTGTATTTGCCATCACCACTCCTGCTGCTAGCCTGCTACTTCTACTACTACTTCTACCACCACCACCACCGCCGCCGCCACCACCACCACCACCACCACCCTTACTACTACTACTACTACTACTACGACGACTACGACTACTACTACTACTACTACTACTACTGCTACTGCTACTACTGCTACTGCTACTACTGCTACTCTACTACGACGACGACGACGACGACTACTACTACTACTACCACTACTACTACTACGACGACGACCACCACCACCACTACTACGGCTACTACTGCCACCACCACTACTCCTGCCACTACTCCCACCACGACTACTACGAAATAACAATGAGTTAAAACAAGAATAATAATGGCAACAATGGTTGTAAAACAACAACGATATTATGGAAATGCTAGTGATCAATATAGATAAGAATAATAAGAAGAAGAAGCAGAAGATTGATAACATAGCTTCGCCTTCAGGTTTCGGCCCGCGGAATTCAATGGCGTTGTGCTGATTTTGGTAGGTTGGTATTTTGTGAGACTTACCCCTAAACCCTAAACCGATTAGCCCGAAGTCCGCTGACAGAAGGCCACAGTGCTCCCCAGGCTGCTTTGCAGCTGCCCTCCAAAAGATGCGGTTCTTCAGAATCCAAAACGAGACACGCCAGGTAAGGCAGCTACTGATGGGGGAGTGCAGGGTTCGGGTTTTGCAGGTGTTTAGGATTCCGGGCTGGCTTGCACTTCGTCCAGGTGAAAATCCTACAACAAAAACCTCAAGAGTCTGAAATCTAAGGCACCCTAAACCCACAAACTCCCCAAATCCCTAAATCCCTAAACCCTCAACCCTAAGCAGTGAGCTCATGATTTGGCATGGGGCCAAGGGCTAAAGCTCATCGCTTCTTCTGCCGACACCCGTGGATCTAGCAATCCGAACGTCTTGCTTTTGCCACCCGTTTTGGGCTTAGGGTTTCGGGTTTAGGGCTTTAGGCTTAGAGCTTATAAGGTTTAGGGCTTAGGGTTTAGGGTTTAGGGCTTTTAGAGTTTAGGGTTTAGGGTATTACCGTCAGGGCTTACAGCTTTAGGGCAATATATCACAATGCCCATATATCTGTCGAAGGTCCCTCTCCCAATTATAAAGGCACCCAAACCCTACTTCCCTCACTACAGAATCCCTTGAAAGGAACCCTTCTAAAAGACACCCTCTTCTATTGACCAAGCCGAAAAACCCTGTAATTCCGAAGCCCCAACTCCTAACATTCCAAAACCCCAATTCCTAAACCCTAAAACCCTAACACCCTAAACCCCAAATCC